TACATGGCATAAACACAGTACGAACCATAAGTAACAATGCACAAGCACCAGAAGAGAGACTAGATAACTTGGAGTTCCTAAAAATCAAACACTTATGCTCATCAAAAGACTTCACCAAAAGAGTAAAAAGACAGCCTACAGACTGGGAAAAATTTTTTGGCTATGATAAATCCAATCAGCATCTAATCTCTAAAATCTACAAGATAGTGCAACACCTCAAAAACAGAAAGACAACCCAGTTAAAAAATGGGCAAAGGATATGAACAGGCACTTCGCCAGAGAAGATACTCAGGCGGCTAACAGACACATGAAGAAATGCTCACGATCATTAGCTATTAGAGAAATGCAGATCAAAATTACAATGAGATATCATCTCACCCCAGCAAGGCTAACATTAATGCAAAAAACACAAAAAAATGCTGGAGAGGTTGTGGAGAGACTGGAACACTTATACACTGTTGGTGGGAATGTAAAATGGTACAACCACTTTGGAAATCGATTTGGCACTTCCTTATAAAGGTAGAAATAGAAGTACCATATGATCCAGGTATCCTGCTCATTGGAATATATCTTAGAGAAATAAGAGTCGTCACAGGAATAGATATCTACACGCCCATGTTCATTGCAGCACTGTTTATAATAGCAAAAAAATGGAAACAACCTAGGTGCCCATCAACGGACCAATGGATAAACAAATTATGGTATATTCACACAACGGAATACTACGCAATGATAAAGAACAACGATGAAGCCGTGAAACATCTTATAACATGGAGGAAGCTGGAGGTCAGTATGCTGAATGAATTTAGTCAGTCACAGAAGGACAAATATTGTATAAGACCACTATTATAAGAATTCAAGAATAGGTTTAAACACAGAAGAAAACATTCTTCGATGGTTATGAGGCTGGGCAGGGGGGGTGAGGGTTCTTTACTAACTAGATAATAAGAATTATCTTAGGTGAAGGTAAGGATAGCACACACTACAAGGGAAGTCAGCGCAAGTGGACTAAACCAAAGCTAAGAAGTTTCCTGAATACAGTCAAACATTTTGAGGGATAGAGTAGCAGGGTTAGGGGTTTGGGACCATGCTTTCAGGGGACATCTCGGTCAATTGGCATAACCAAGCTTATTAAGAAGATATTCTGCATCTTACTTTGGTGAGTGCTGTCTGGGGTCTTAAAAGCTAGCAAGTGGCCATCTAAGATGCATCAGTTGGTTCCAACCCACCTGCTGTAAAGAAGAATGAAGAACACCAAAGACACAAGGAAAGTATTAGCCCAGGAAACTGAAAGGGCCACATAAACCAGAGACTTCATCAGCCTGAGACCAGAAGAACTCAGTGGTGCCCAGCTACTACCAATGACTGCCCTGACAGGGAACACAACAGAGAGTCCCTGATGGAGCTGGAGAAAGGTGGGGTGCAGAACTCAAATTCTAGTAAGAAGATCAGACTTACTGGTCTGACTAAGACTGGAGGAGCCCCGGAAGCCATGGCCCCTGGATTCTCTATCAGCCCAGAACTAAAACAGTTTCTGAGGCCAGCTCTTCAGACAGGGATTGGACTGGACTGTGGGACATAAAGTGATACTCGTGAGGAGTGTGCCTCTTTGCTCAAGTAGATACAGGAGACTAAATAGGCAGCTTCTGTATGGTGGTGGTGATATGGAAAGGCGGAGAGGGTTAGGAGCTGGTTGAATGGACATAGGGAATCAGTGGTAGAAAGGAGGAGTGTGCTGTCACAGTATGTGGAGAGCAATTAGCATCACATAACAATGTATGTATGAATTTTTGTATGGGAAAAAATTTAAAAAAAGAATTTCATTTTACTTGGATCCGCAGTCAGTCCCCGCGGAAGCAGCAGTCAAGAAATCAAACAACATATTGCATTGGGCAAATCTGCTGCAAAAGACTATTCTTCAAAGTGTTAAAAGCAAAGATGTCACCTTGAAAACTAAGGTGCGCCTGACCCAAGCCATGGTGTTTTTAATTGCCTGGTATTCATGCAAAAGCTGAACAATGAATAAGGAAGACCAAAGAATTGATGCATTTGAATTATGGTGTTAGCAAAGAGTATTGAATATACCATGGACTGCCAGAAGAACAAACAAATCTGTCTTGGAAGTACAGCCAGAATGCTCCTTAGAAGTGAGGTTGGTGAGACTTCATGTCACGTACTTTGGACATGTTATCGGGAGGGACCCGTCCCTACAGAAGGACATCATGCTTGGTAAAGTAGAGGGTCAGTGAAAAAGGGGAAGACCCTTAACGAGATGGATTGACCCAAGTGGCTGCGACAGTGGGCTCAAACATAGCAAAAATTGTGAGGATTGCACAGGACCAGCAGTGTTTCCTTCTGTTGTTCATAGGGTTGCTATGAGTTGGAAGTTACTTGATGTCACCTAACAGCAACACAGTCTAGGCCCTATTGTTTGTTGCTGTAGCTTTATCTTATGCTGTTTCTTTTCCGTGTTTTAAATCATAACTACAGTACCATAGAGATGATTCTCATCAACTTTTTCATTGCCATTCTCCTATCTAACCTTGGACCCCTGGAAAATGGACCTTCTTACCTCTTCTCAGCCTCCCCCTTAGAATGCTTCTATTCTGGTCTCCCCAGTCATGATTCTAGAACCACCTTCTTTAGTCAGAGCCTCCGTTGAGATGGAGGAAGCTAGAATGGGCCAGAAAGCACAGAATAGATTGCAGAGCCAAAAACAAACTCTGATAAACAAAGCTGCTATACTTAAGAAATGACATACTTAAGAAAGTTATTATGGAAGACATACAATATGTAAGTTACAAAGTAAAACCTTGGTCGTCATAACTTTTATAAACTCATTGTTGTCGTTTATTTGTTTTGGTTTGTTTTAGGGGGGATAAACAAATTAAAAGTGGTATTTCTATAATTTGTTAGCCTACCAGAATCTTTACATTTGTGGTTAAGAGATGTGAATTTTAAAAAAGACCTGACTTACTGGCCTGACAAAGACTGGAGAAACCCCGAGAGTATGGCCCCCGGACACACTTCTAGCTTAGTGATGAAGTCACTCCTAAAGTTCACCCTTCAGCAAAGATTAGACAGGCCCATAATACAAAACGAGCCTAAAGGGGCACACCAGCCCAGGGGCAAGGGCTAGAAGGCAGGAGGAGATAGGAAAGCTGGTAATAGGGAACCTAGGGTTGAGAAGGGAGAGTGTTGACATGTTGTGGGGGTGGTAACCAATGTCACAAAACAGTATGTGTACTGATTGTTTAATGAGAAGCTAGTTTGTTCGGTAAACATTCATCTAAAGTACAATAATAAAGGAAAAAATATAAAAAAATAAGATTTTTAATTCTAAAATTTGTTATAAAATCTACATTCTAGTTATATTATCTTTGAAAAAAGAGGGACATTTATTTGCACATTATCAATATTCTTGCAAGATTGATGTTTCATCATTTACGATTTTGTTGAGTTAATAAAGCAGAACTCTAGAATTTTAATTGTAGAATTTTAACTCTAGAATTTTTCAGTGTATAAACATTTGAGGGAGAGGTAATTAATTCCCCTCGAAATTATGTAACAGCACTGATTGACTCTTTCCATTGGCAGTTATGTGTGTGTTGATTCTCAGAAAATAAAAGAGACTTAAATTTTTGTAAAAGTTCTTATTGTTAATCATAGACCTATGCTATCCAATGTGGTAGCCACTGAGCACATTCGGCTATTGAGCACTTGAAATGTGGAAAATATGCTGTAAGTATAAAATTTTGAACACGTCATATGAAAAAAAGAATGTGAAATATCTCTGATATTTTAAATTGATGTGGCTTGTAGAAATTCTTTAATTGTTTACATAGCTTACATTATATCTCTGTGGATCAGTGCCATCTTGGACCATAAAGCTCTATTAAATAGTTAACCATTAATTAGTAAATTATATATCTCCTTTTTAAGGTGATTCTGAATCTGACCTAGAAATGACATTGATAAGGGCAATAAGTAAGCCTTAGAGCCTCAGTTTTAGTAAAACTTACAGAAGACTGAATGCATCCATTACAACAAATATTTATTGAGCACCTAATTATCTGGTGGGGTTTTTGCTAAGTATTGTGTATGTATATTTGACCTAATCTAAATAATTTTTCAGAGTATTCACGTCAAAACCAAAACCAAACCCATTGCCATCGAGTCCATTCCGACTTCATAACGACCCTATAGGACAGAGTAGAACTGCCCCACAGAGTTTCCAAGGCTTTAAGTCTTTACAGAAACAGACTACCATATCTTTCTCCCACGGATCGGCTGGTGGGTTCGATATGCAGACCTTTCAGTTAGCAGCTGAGCACATTAACCACTATGCCACTAGGGCTCCTATAGCCTGTATCTATTTTCTTAACCAACTAAGTGAAGTAGGGAGGACTCTTGACCCTCTGCAGTGGTATACAGAGGTGCCTGTAGCAGAAAGTGGCATGACATTTCATTATGTTTTAATTTTCACCTATAGTTTAAAAACGTAGCAATTTACAGCTAGAATAGATAGTACCTTTCCATGATAGGGTGCTTCAGTCAGTAATTTCTAAAAACTTTTGAAAAAACCTACTACTGAAATAGAAAAGAATGATATGAAAGGAGGGAAAAGATTGATTTTTCTTATTAATATTTTCCTTGTCTAAATAGATCACTTTGGGACCTCTAAAGCTTTTAGATAGCAACTTGTTCCTTGATATTTTATTGTTTTCGCTTCAAACTAGATCGCTAAATGTTAAGTTCTTTACTCTTACAATTGGTTTAGGCAGTCTGTTTTTAAACAATTTTATGAGATTACAGATAAAACTCATCTTTTATCAAACTTTTAAATGTTTTATAGGACGACTATGATAAATACGGAATTCGAATTAGAGTCAAATTTCGCGATACTACTCAACTGCATGAATTAACTCCTTATCATCAGAGTGGAGGTGAAAGAAGTGTTTCTACCATGTTATACTTGATGGCACTTCAGGAGCTTAATAGATGTCCATTCAGAGTAGTTGATGAAATCAATCAGGTATAGTGATTGTTCTTTTACTTGGGTCTTATGTGTCATGTGATTGAGATAGATGTAATCATTATTATTGTTATTGTTAAGGGAATGGACCCGATCAATGAACGGAGAGTATTTGAAATGGTTGTAAAGACTGCCTGTAAAGAAAACACATCTCAGTACTTCTTTATTACACCAAAGGTAGGTAATGAGTAACCTAAAAGTGCTCATATACTCAGAAGTCCCCTGTGGCTTAATCATGTAGCAGATTTTAACCCAACATGTAAATACGAACAGGAACACTCCCAAGAAAGGAACTGAAAATATTACAGTAATACTTATATTAATAAAGGGGACAAGTTCCAGTGACATACTTAATCAGAAACCTCATTATCAGAGGAAGAAGCATAGAAGGCATAGTATTACGTTCTAGAACTAAGATTTCCTCCCTGCACCTGGCACTCACTCCTCTTCTGGAATAGCTCCTCTTTTAGCACAAAAAAATGACTGGGGAATGCAACCCTTAGAACTCTACCCTCTCCATTTCCCCAGAAAGATCTGTCTTGACATATACTGCCCTTCCTCCTTATTCACCACTGCTGCTGCCCTGTCCCAGAGGAAATCATAACTACCCCAACATCCACTACCCTCTGATTGACTTTAATAAACGCAGAATAATCTTTATAAAGGATATTTCATAAGCTAGAACCATTGTAATAGGAAATTTTCTTTTGGTACAATCTAGTGGTGTGAGTAAATTATAAAACTGATATACATAGAATATGTATGAATGTAATCAGATTTTTCTTTGTTAATTAACTATTCATGAAGAACTTCACTGGAGAGTCCATCCTAAATTCACATTGTTATAAATAGTAATAATCTGTGTGATATTTTTTCAGCAGATACTCTATGGAATAGCCAGATCTATTAATAACCTATTGCTTACCAAACACCTTGATCTATAAACCAAACCACCCTGTTGTACACATTTCAGGGTGCCACTCTGTTACAGTGCCTGACCATAGCTATTGCTTGAGAAGTATTTGGATGAATGAATGAAAGTATCTATCCTGGGAAAATTCTGGAGGATATATTCTTTTCCAGAGTCTACCTGGGAAGTTGTATGATCCCATTTGGCCCTTGGATCTGTAGGGCTCCCGGGCATATTCCTTAGGCCAGGTTTCAGGTATACTAATCCAGGTAAGCATTCCAGTCTGGCAGAATATATATTAAGGTATTTGAGAGCTTCATAAGAGTTTCGTTCATATTACAAATAAAATAATAGATTTGATTGTATACATGAAAAGTTGGAATATTAGGCTTCTTAATATATGACATTTTATCTCTTTAAACACAGCTCCTGCAAAATCTTCCATATTCTGAAAAGATGACCATATTATTTGTCTACAATGGTCCTCATATGCTGGAACCAAACAGATGGAATTTAAAGGCTTTCCAAAGGCGGCGGCGCCGTATCACAGTCACTCAGCCTTCTCAATAAAAGCAAAAAGAGGGGACTTTGGAATTTTTCTGTGAAATTCTCTTCATAAGTACAGCTCAACTGAATAAAAGCTAGGATTTTCATTAAACTGAAAGATCGGTTATTTTTGGAAACCTGCTTTTAAATACAAGTGGGTCAATGAAATGGAGACCATAGAAACGTCTTTCTCTGGAACATCATCTGGTAGTAAAAATTAAATCTTCTTCAGTCATGGTTGAACTTGAGTCCTTAGCACTCTGACTGTGAGTCGTTGGGTTCCCATGTTAAAAGGTATTTACTGTTGCAAGTCAGAGGTACAGTAGAAGGGGTTATCAGTCACAAGAAGTTTAGTTGACATGGTAACCCTGAGTTTTAATTGCAGAGTAACTTTTAATTGCTTTTAGAACCTAAAGTTGGCTCTAGAGCCAAAGTCATAGTTTTCTCTTAAAATTGATATGGAAATTTCTAAAGTGTATAATAATAATTTATGATAAAGCTATTCATTTCTTCCTATTAAAAAAGATTACCTTGTCTCCACTAGGCAATGGAATTTTATGGGCCTTTTAAAAAAGTTTTATGAAACTTGATGCTATAATTGTATTGGTATTTCAATGGATAAAGACGCACTGGGGTTTAAAAATGATAGCTGGACATCTTTGAAATGGTACAAGGTGGTCACAGATGATGCAAAATGCAACCAAAAGATTGACAAAGAATAGAATCAGGTGACCAGGGTTTTTAAAGAGTAGCCCTGTAAAGTGTGTGTGTGTGTGTGTGTGTGTGTGTGTGTTTAATTTAAAGTCAGTTGTATTTTACATCTTAAATTTCTAAAGCATTTTTATAATTATTTTTAGTAAGATTTTTCTGAAGATTTCATATACTGGTTTTTACGATTTATATTTGAAATTTCTAAATGTTATGTAAAGAGTGAAGGAAAAGTATTGATTTGTTTAAAACCATAATGTTCTTAGAACTTAAGCTTGTAGGTTCCTTACAGTGTTGGTCTACCCCATTATCTTACAAAATCTAGTTTAAACTATTTTCTTTCAGCATGAAAGAATTTGATTAGAAAATCATTTATTTTGGAGTTATACTAACTAACAGTTCCAAATTCTGTTCTTTTTAAAAATAAATCCTGTGAGATAATAGACTAGTCTGAGGACATGTTTTTGAACAGTGGGTTGGATCTGTGCTGGTAATGATAAGTAGTTTTTTTGACTTCCCAGCCTGAATGAATCGAAGAATTGCACTTAGTTTGCTTTTTGTATATTCTTAAATAGCCACTGAAATTTATATTCTTATTAGATCAAAAAATAATGAACCATAAGTTTGTCTTCTCACTTAAACGTTTTCTCTTTAGAAAGATTTTTTTTCCTTTATTAAAATCTTAAAAGAAAGGACTTTCCCCTTTTAAACTAAGTCTAATGCACGAACTATGAATATATTTTAAAACAACAATTTTACTAGTGTGAACAAGTCTTATAAACATTGAAAAAACTTCGTAACATATTATTAGTAAATGGCTATTGTTACCAAATGGTTTTGTTGTTAAATATTTCATTTTCCACCAAAATATCTTCACTAATATGTGCTTGGTGTAGTTTGTTTATTGAATAAGTTAGTGCCAGTCATCTTCTTCCTGAAAAATGAATATCAATGTGAAAAAAAACTTGAAGATGAGGCACGTTTTAAAATAAAATGGTCAGTTACATTTTAATTTACATACGGAAACAATTATTCCTTACTTTGTAAGCATTTATATTTCTCTTCTGAACAGTTAATAATATTTGGTTTTACATTGAATTTTGAGCTTTGAAGGATAAATTATGTATCATTTTAACATTAATAAAAAAGAATAAGTCCAACACAGTGTAGTCTCAGCCACTTAAAACTTCATATATTTTCTGCAAAGGTTAAGTTTTAATTACATACAGATTGTAAAAACTCCCAAGTAAAAGCCTGATTTGATGAATAAAATGATAATTAAAACCTTAAGGTGGCAAGCAAGTGTTTTTGATGACTAAATCTTAATTGATTTGCCCAAGGAGAGAGTCTCTGTTAAAAGGTTTTCAGTATTTAAAGTAAAAGAAATTCTTGCTGCTTTCTAATTGTCTTTTGGACATGTGCTTATTTTCTTTGGAGTATACACCTTCAGTGAAAAATTTGTACTTTCATTCTGCTATTGTGGGTGTGGGTGTGTGCGCGCGCTTGTATAACTGAGAAAAAAAATGCTTTGGGCTGGGAAATAACTACTTTGTCAGTAATAAATACATATTTTCATATTCTTTTGGTGTATGTTATTTTAAGTGAGAACTATTTTTATACTTTCAGTCCTCTTAAGAGTTATTTTGGTATTCATATTTACAGAGGGGGAAAGAATCTATTGAGTGCCCAGCATTTACAGAACAGTGTTCAGCAGTTTATCAGTGTTCAAAAGAATAGAAAATTTAGCCCTTGCCTGCCAGCAAGGAAATTACAGTCTAATAGAAGCAATAAACACACGTGACAAAAAGTATAAACCAAACTACTACTAAAGAAGCCAAACTATAAGGCAAGTATAACTTTTCAGGTTGAAACCCTAGATTTGCTAAAAACATGCCCAATAGCCCATTTAGTCATATTATTTCTTATATTAAACTACTATCTAAAGCAATTTTTAAGAATAAACTATAAATTTTTAAGCCAGTCCGGCTTTATCACTTGCTTTTAGACAAGCTCAGTTTTCCCCCCCGCTCCCCAGAAATGAGGATAATAACCAATTCACAGAGTTGAGAAGATTAAATGAGATCAAGAGCCTGTTAGGGTAGCTAGCATCATAGTAGACACTTAAATTTCTCCCCTCATAGTTTAAATTTTGAAAAATGTAATGTTCTGAGTATTTTATTTATCAAGATCTAAGAATTCTAAGTAAATGTAGAGGTTTTTATTCTCTTGTTGATAGTGTCAGTTGTTCAAAGGATGTAGACATAGGCTTTGAGCCTTTGGGTGGTACACATGTAATTATTTTCATATATCTTGTTTACTTTCATGAAATGTGAATATTAGTTAACTAGATGAACTTGCCCTAAAGATACCAGTCCGTGTCGTTACTTTATAGTCAAACCATAAACTTTAGAAAACTTATTTCTTTAAATTTCATTAAATAGAATTTGCACATTTGGGAGGTTTGACTCTGTTGACAATTTGGGCTTGTTTTTTATTCCCAATGGAAAAGTTGGGTGTGAGGGAATTTTACTTTCTTTAATGTTAACTATTGGGTCATTGCTCTGAAATAAATTACTGGCGATTGGCTGGAAGATTTTGTTACTTTCCAACAAGCCCCAGCTTTGTTCAACTCCAAAGAGAAAGAATAGGGCAACTCAGCCTAACTTCCTTCTAAAAATTCTGCTAAGAGGGCTTGGAGAAGTTCAGAGCAGCCTAAAAATAGTCCTGGCTCTGTTGCCCTGGCTTCATCTGAGAAGCTGAACATAGGTTGGCTACTTTTAGGCAGGTCAGAAACATCTGAAAGGTGTTCATTCTCTTCCCACAGATTTTATCATCCTACCTGTCTGACTGCCTTTAGTTAGTAAACTGATAGCATTTCATTCTGCTTCTTAGAGGCATGCTTACAGTCTTGGCATTTAGCTCCATTCATTTGGAGTGGAGGTTGAGGTAGACAGGGCTACTAGGAGGGCAAAGGATGGGTTGAAACAAATAATGCCGGTGTAAAGATTTGGGAGAACCTACCAATGAGTGTTATGTGTTAGACAAATTTTAATTTAAAATCTTCAGTCCAAGTGATATTTGTGACATATTCTTTACCTTTAAATATGAGATGTTAGACTTGCAAGGGATCTAACGGGTCACTTAGATCATCTCCTTTTCATGGTCATCCGCTTGTTTTCAGTCATAAGTCATGGGAAGGACTCATTTGAGGGATTAAGGCTAGCAGTGATACACCTAAATGTAAGTAATTGTGTAAATGGATGCTATAATAACTTGTTTATATGCCATTTAATATTTATAAGCATTTTAATATATAGTTTGTCATACACAAGAAACAGGAAATTAGCAATGTTATGACTTTTCCAAGTTTGTCTGTTGGTAAATGGCAGAAGTGGGATTGAAAACGAGGTCTGATGTTTTTTTCCAAAATACCATGTTGCTAACCTGCTACCAGGACACCTTGTCTATTTGAATTGCTGGAGATGTACCATCAACAGCTCCTGGTTGCGTAATTCCCTTTCTTATGAATAAGACATTGCTTCTCCAATACACCCCTGAATTAGGGTACAGGTTTCTTCAGCTGTAACAAAGACCCAAATATAACTTACAAGATAGGTGTTTATGTCTTAATAGAACATAAACAGTCTGGGGCTGATATGCCAACTCCTATTTTGTTACTCTGCCATCCTCAGAAATCTGTGGGCCTTCTCATGGTGCCAGATGGCTGCTTCAGCTTTTGCCAACATGTCTGTATCCAAACCAGCAAGAACGGAGATGAGGGAAGCGCATGAACATTTCTGTTAGGAGCATGATCTGTAAGAGGCACATATCACTTCTGCTCTTGTCCAGAACTTAGTCACATGGCCTGATCTAGCTGCAAGGGAAGCTTGAATATGTCCTCTTTAGCTGTGTGGCTATGTGTCTAGTTAAACACCAGCCACTCTCACTCAAGAAAGAAGGGTAGAGTAAATATTGGTGGACGATCAGTCTCTGCCACAGCCCGTAGGAGATAACTGATTACCCTATGGCCTGTTAGCAGTGTTTTCAGAAAAGACTTGGTAGGTTCCCATTACACTCAGAATAAAAATCCAGAGTTGTTAATCACAGACTTCAAAGCCCTGCATGATGTGGGTCCTACTTATCTCCCCACTGCAGCTCCATTAAAAATAGCACCCAGGAGATACTCTGCTATCCTTTTGCCCTTTTTTATTTTTCTTCTTAGCATTTATCACTACTTCTTCTTATACGTTTTGTTGTTTTGTTTCCTCAGCTAGAATATGAGCTCTCTGAAGGCAGAACAGAAACCTTGTGTTGATCACTACCTTCCCAGAGCCTAGAAAAGTGCTTAACACATAGTAAGCACTCAGTAATTGTAGCTTGAAATGAATGTTCTTTTCCCCAACCCAGACAATGATTTGAGCATATTTTTTCCATTATTCCTTCGTTCAGTTTTTATGTACATGTAGTATGAGCGAGGGACTATGCTATATACTATGAGAAATAAAAAGAAATGTCCTTCATATGAATCCACCCTCCAGAAACTATGGGAATGGAGAAGGGATGGGATCTACCTGGGATCTGTAAGGCTTCATAAAGGTACAGATTTTGGATCCAGAATATGTAGGCAGGCTGTCATAGGGTGTTTCATAGGAACTGGAAAGGTGTTCCTTCTTGTTAAAATTGTTCCTTTTTGTTAAAATTAAAATATATCCAATTATTGCCAACTTACGGAAGACAGTCTGGCTGTGCACAACTATTAGGGTTTTTGTTGTTTAAAAAAAAACATGTAATGTGGATGAGGGTAAGCTATTTCCCCACAACCTAGTTGACAGCTTACAATGAAAATAAGCCTTCTGCCATTCATATAGATATTTACTAAACATTTATTACAAGCAGACACAAAACTGTTCACATAACTTAATATGTAAGAAGACGAGGTTCTAACTCTATCCTTTTGGATGATTTGACCGCACTTTGCATGAAAGGTTCCAGATGTGATAGTATTCCAGAGGCGGAATTCTATTATCCTTTAAGTGGGCATCAAGCAACCAGAAATCCTTAGATCCAATGACTGGTCACAGGATTGTTGGGGGCTGGCACTTTGGGAAACACTGCTAAGGGTAAAGGTTGTAGGCCTTGCTGGTTTATACCTGGTTCATGAGATAACCGGGAGTGTCTAAGACATGTTAGTCTATCTAGTAATACATGCTGTTAATACCTTTAATTTCTCAGTGAAAACCCATTGCTCACCTTCACTGTGCTAATTGACAAAGCCTCTGTCTGGTATTAATACATGGATAGTGGAAGCACTTCTGATAGCTACAGTAACAGATTACCCAGTAAGCAAGGTAAGCAATGTTTAGTGCATCAACAGAACAAAGGCACCAGTTGTCCAAAGCAAAGACCCACAGATGGCCAAGCAGACAAGACACATATATGTTGTTGTTAGGTGCCATCGAGTCAGTTCTAACTCATAGCAGCTCTGTATACAACACAATGAAACACTGCCCAGTCCGGTACCATCCTCACAACCACTGATGTATTTGAGCCCATTGTTGCAGCCACTGTGTCAATCCATCTCATTGAAGGTCTTCCTCTTTTCGCTGACCCTCTACTTTACCAAGCATGAGGTTCTTCTCCAGGGACTGGTTCCTCCTGATGACATGTCCAGTGTGCATGAGAGGAAGTCTCTCCATCCTGGCTGTACTTATTCCAAGACAGATTTGTTTGTTCTTCTGGCAGTCCATGGTATATTCAATATTCTTTGCCAACACCATAATTCAGAGGCATCAGTTCTTCAGTCTTCCTTATTCATTGTCCAGCTTTCTTCGCATGCATATGAAGTGATTGAAAACACCATGGCTTGGGTCAGGCGCGCTTTAGTCCTCAAAGTGACATCTTTGCTTTTTAACACTTTAAAGAGGTCTTTTGCAGCATATTTACCCAGCGCAATACATAGTTTGATTTCTTGACTGCTGCTTCCATGGGCATTGATTGTGGATCCAAATAAAATGAAATCTTTTGATGATGTCAGTATTTTCTCCGTTTATCATGATGTTGCTTATTGGTCTAGTTTTGTGAGGATTTTTGTTTTCTTTATGTTGAGGTGTGATCCATACTGAAGGCTGTAGTCTTTGATCTTCATCAGTAAGTGCTTCAAATCCTCTTCACTTTTAGCAAGCAAGGTTGTGTCATCTGCATAATGCAAGTTGTTAATTAGTCTTTCTCCAATCCTGATGCTGTGTTCTTCATATAGTCCCGCTTCTCGGATTATTTACTCAGCATACAGATTGAATAAGTGTGGTGAAAGGATACAACCCTGATGCACACCTTTCCTGATTTTAAACCATGCAATATCCCCTTGTTCTGTTCAAACGACTGCCTCTTGGTCTATGTAGAGGTTCTGTATGAGCACAATCAAGTGTTGTGGAATTTCCATTCTTTGAAATATTATCCATAATTTGTTATGATCCATACAGTCGAATGCCTCTGCACAGTCAATAAAACACAGGTAAACATCTTTCTGGTAGTCTCTGCTTTCAGCCAAGATCCATCTGACATCAGTAGTGATATCCCTTGTTCCATGTCCTCTTCTGAATCCGGCTTGAATTTCTGGCACTTCCTTGTCGATGTACTGCTGCAACTGCTTTTGAATTATCTTCAGCAAAATTTTACTTGTGTATAATATTAATGATATTGTTTAATAATTTCACCATTCTGTGGATCACCTTTCCTTGGAATAGGTACAAATATGGATCTCTTCCAGTTGGGTGGCCAGGTAGCTGTCTTCCAGATTTCTTGACATAGACTATTGAGCACCTCCAGCACTGCATCTGTTTGCTGAAACATCTTAATTGGTATCCCGTCAATTCCTGAAGCCTTGTCTTTCACCATTGCCTTCAGTGCAGCTTGGACGTCTTCCTTCAATACCATCAGTTCTTGCCTCCTGAAATGGTTGAATGTCAGCCAGTCCTTTTTGGTACAGTGACTCTCTGTATTCCTTCCATCTTCTTTTGATGCTTCCTGTGTCATTCAATTTTTTGCCCATAGGGTCCTTCAAAATTGCAACTCGAGGCTTGAAATTTTTTTTCAATTTTAGCTTGAGAAATGCCGAGTCTGTTCTTCTCTTGGTTTTCTAACTCCAAGTCTTTGCACATTTCATTATAATACTTTACTTTGTCTTCTCAAGCCACCTTTTGAAGTCTTCTGTTCAGCTCTTTTACTTCATCATTTCTTCCTTTTGCTTTAGCTGCTCTCCATTCAAGAGCAAGTTTCAGAGTCTCTTCTGACATCCATTTTGATCTTTTCTTTCCTGTCTTTTTAATGATCTTTTGCTTTCTTCATGTATGGTGTCCTTGATTTCATCCCACAACTCATCTGCCACAACTCATCTGGGATTTATAGTCTCATTTATAAAGAAGTTACATCATGGAGAGCTAAGACACACATACACACTATATATACATATATATATACACATACATATGTATATATATGACTGACATATCTCATTCAAATGCGTGAGTAAGCAGAGGGGGCACCACAAATTGTCAGTGCTTACTGCCTTCACATGCCTTAATCTGGCCCTGGATAGATACCTTTGTACTATGGGCTTTCTGTTTAGAACACTAAAGTGTAAACTACTGATAAGGACAACTGACTGCACTAATAATTTAACATTGCACATAATATCACACTGCCTATACTGGAGTATTTTAAAGGAATTATAACAGTGGCCAAAGACAGTAGTGAGAAAAAACATTTAGGAAAGTAGGATGGGCCTAGATAATGGAGGATAAGGTACAGAAGTTTCTCTTAATTTTATAGATTTTTTTTTTTTTTTTTTAAAGCAGGAGAGTAACATAATTAGAACTTGAATTCAGGAAGATTCATTTGACCATTAGATTGGAGGGGGGAGTCTGAGAGAGATATGAAAGCAAGTAGTTGAATAATGAAGCCTGAACGGATGCTTTGCTAAGAATAGAAATGGACAAGTAGAGGACAAGTACAAGATTTTTGTGTATAAAATCTGCATGTTATTTGTGTAATGGTTGGTCTTTCACTTATCTCCTTTAATTTTTGTAGAAACTTTTAAAAAATGGATAGTATCTCCACCGAGGAAGAAGGTTCTGAGAGATTAAGTTGACTTGTCCAAAGTCACACAGCTGGTAAATGCCAGAATTGGGATTCAGAGGCAGGCAGTGTATGACACTGAAGAGAGCAAAGGGAATAGCAAAACTCAAGAGGTTGGCAAGCTTAGGGTGAGAAATACACATACACCATTGGTGAGAGTGTAAAATTGTTAGAACCTCTGTAGTGAGCAATTTAGCAATATATTTTATTTTTTAATAGTATTTTATTGTGTTTTTGATGAATGCTTACACCATAAATTAGGTTCCCATTTGATAATTTCTGTACACTTTGTTGAGTGACATTAGTTACTTGTTTACAATGGGTCAGTTCTCTTTCACTGAGTTCTGTTTGTTCTGTTTCTGGTACCCTAGTTTCCCTGCCCCCTCATCTTCTCATCTTTGCTTTAGAGTAATTGTTGACCTTTTGGTCTCATATAGAAATTTTTTTGTTTTGTTTTGTTTTTTATTTTTTTAATAGAGCACTATACCCATGGTTAATGTCCTCTAGTTTGTGTGCTGCTGTTACTTTTCTAAAAGGTGGTTAGTTTCAGCTCAAGGTTAAAGAGTATCTCAGGGCAGTAGTCTCAGGGAGTCTTCTGGTCTCAATTGGTCCAGCAAGTCTGGACTTTTTAAGAATTTAAGTTCTGTCCTGCATTTTTCTTCCATTCTATCCAGGTTCATCTGTTGTAGCCCTGATCAGAATAGTTAGTAGTTGCAGTTGTAGCCGGGCAACATCTAGTTCTTCTGGTCTCAGGGTAGATGAAGCCATGGTTCCTGTAGGCTATTTGCCCTGTAGACTAGTTCCTTCTCTAGAACTTTGGTTTCCTTCTTTCTCTTTTGCTCCTGATGAGTAGAGACTTAATAGTTGTGTCTTAGATGGCTGCTCACAAACTTTCAAGACCCCAAATTCTACTCACCTCACTAGGATACAGAACATGAACTTTGTGAACTCTGTTATGCTAATTGACTGAGTTGTCCCATGAGACTAAGTTCCTAAGCCTTCAAACCCAGAAAACCAGTCTCTTAAGGTGTTTGGTTATGTCTAAGTGGTATTTGTAATTGTGTCCCCTATGAATACATATGCCTGCATCCACATATCTTTACAGCAATATGTTTTAAATGAGTGTGCCTTTTGAACTAGCAAATCTACTTCTGGGAATTTATCTTATCTATATCCTCTCACATGTATTTCTAAGCATATGTGCAAGGATATTCAGTTCAGTGTTGTTTGAAATAGCAATAGCTTGACAACTAGTTAATGTTGATGCAAACATCTGTTTGATAGAATACTATGCAGCTGTTAAAAATGAAGAGGCTGATCTTTATGTACTGATATTAATACAACTAGGTCTTCAGGTTGTACTAATGAAAGTAGCAAAATGCAAAAGGGTATCTGTGTGTGTGAGAGAGAGTGTCGTTACCATTTGTGTTTCAAAAGAAATATACACACACACATATATATACACACACATACATACACACACAGACATATAGCTAGATTTTCTGTCTCTTGAAGGCGTCAAAGAAATTTACTAACTGGCTGCCTCTGGGGAAGGAAACTAGGTAGCTAAAGAACAGGTGAGAGGAAAATTTATTTTTCATTGTATGCATTTTTCTATCTTTTATTATCTCTTTTTAAATCTTTTTTTAAACAGAAAAGACCATGGGCTTTGAACTCAAAGACAATTGGATTTTACTACCTAACTAGCTAAATGTGACCAGGGCCAATTTATTATTTTCTAATTTCATGTGACTACATTATAGAATATATGAAATACAAAACAGTCTTATGAAGCC